AAAAAAAAAAACATACACAATTATCATAGTAGTAGTGTGTAGGTGTATATATCACAAATATGTATATTTTATTTTAAGCCGAAAAAAAAATTGTGTTGATTGATAAAGGAAGAGCCCAATTACATTCAATGTGGAATTAAATTAGGTTTACCTTAGAATCGATCTAGTATATTATAATATATATTTCATTTATTTCTCTGCTTCTGTTTCGTCTCGTTATTATTCATTATATTTAAGGTTCTTACATCAAATAGCGCATTTATGGTTTGTCATAGGATAAGAGACAAATACATACATACATACAATATACATATACACACATATATATAAGCACATAGTACATTTAATGTCTGTAGATCGAGATATTCTATATAACGTCGTAATAGTACCAACAACTAGACAAAAATCCAATTACTTAAACTTATAGTTTTGGGTTCATAATATGCGAACAATCAGAACAGACCCCCATACCCTGTCGTATACCCACTCTAAGAGGGCAGTCCTGAAAACTTGACACACTAGCCAAAAATTGTCAACTTTTCAGACTGCCCTCGCCCTATGCCCTTGCCCCCATCTGCCCATGACTCCTCCGCCTTGCCTTAACGTCGCGTCTCGCTGGAGCGGATCTGCTCCCGACCGCCGCCGCGCTCGATGAACCAATTGTTGTTGCGCTTCTTCTCGTGACGCTGGCGTGCGTGCTCACGATGTTGCATCATGCGCTCGTGCCACTCGCCGCTGGCGCTGTCATCGTCATCATCATGGCGCTGCCTTCTGCCGTGCTGCTGCTCCTTGGAGTTGTCCAGATGCTTGCGGTAGCGGCGTTCCTTTGAGTTGTACTTGTGCTCCTTGGAATCATGCTTGTGCTCCTTGGAGTCCTGCCACTTTGCGTTGTTGTTGTATTTGGTCTTGTAGCGTTCCTTCGATGCATCTGTATTGGGATAGCGTTGCTTGTTCGTCTCGAGGGGCGGTGCTCGCATTTTGTCGCCATGCACATGGAAAGCTTTGGATGAATCGCTGGCACCGACATTCGGTGTGGGTGTGGGCGTTTCGTCCTCGCCAGCGAGTGTGCCTAGCAGCTCGGTGACCTTTTCAAAGTCGTGAAAAGCTTGAGATTGCCGCAGCACATCGTTCACCGCATCACCGATCTCATCGGCTAGAGATTCGGCATGCGGTTTTGCTTCCATGCACATGGCGGCGATTTCCACATAGTTGCCATCGGGGCACTTGTACGGGCGCTTCAGGTCCGCCTTGGTAATGTCCACAGGATCCACAGAGTCGCCGTTGCCGGACCAGGCCTTGAATGTTTTCGGCTTGCGCGGCTGAGCCTGGGCCTGACCGTGTCCATGACCCTTTCCCTGTCCCTTTCCCTGTCCCTGACCCTGGCCCGGTCCGTGACCCTGTCCAACTATGGAGCTAAGATATAGCAGCTGCTTGGACATGATATCAATCTCGGCGCGCATCAGATTATTCTGCAGCTCCAGATCGAGCAGCCGCTGCTCCAGATCCGGAACGGCCTCATTGCCGCTGAACAACTTCCACTCGGGATTACGCAGTCGGCCAATAAGTGCCAGCACGGCCAAAGTGGTGCCCACATAGAAGATGGCGGTCAATCCGTTATGTATCAGCGGCGGCATACGATAGCGACGTTGCACAGCTGTCGACGCTGCTGCTGGCTGTGCTGCTGGCTGCGCTGCATTATTCAGCTGCAGGGCTGGGCGTGGGTCACGGCGACGTCGTTCACGCATCTCCTGGGCAGCATTCAGATCTGGCATATTGCCCAGCAGCGGCACTTCATGGCCCGCATCGAACTTGAAGCTCAGCTCGTTGAGATGCTCGCGCAGAAAGGGATGCGGCGAAATGCGTCCAGTGCTCTCGCAGTCACTGATTATCGAGATGCCGTCGGAGACGTCCTCGGCCTGGGTGTCTGCATCCTCGACGAGCGTGCCTCTATGGGTGTAAAGAATGTATACATATA